CCTCCTCCTCCTCCTCCTCCTCCTCCTCCTCCTCGCCCTCCTCCTCCTCCTCGCCCTCCTCCTCCTCCTCCTTCTCCTCCTCAACGAAAGAACTTCGTCCTGGCCACGGCGAGCCTCGGTCACCAGTCGGAAAGCCCCGACCCAGGCCTATAAGGAGCGGCCCGAGAGCCAGAGACCCCCATCCCGAACCCCGATATGGTCCTCGCAGCAGCGTGCTGCCCGCACACATCAGAAGCGACGACAGGGTAGCCCAGGGGGGAGCAATACACGTATTCAGGTGCGCCGATGATCTATGTCTTCGAAAAGGCTCCAGGGCGAACACGTGTAATGCCCGCCCCTGGGTTTTTCGCCCCTATCGTCGCCGCCGACCACATGGCGCTGGAGATGGAAATGCAGATGAAGTGGAGATTCGGCGGCGAGCGAGGGGGGAAATGAGAGGGAGAAGGCCTTCTCAGAAGGCGGCGGGACTCCTCGGAAAGGCTTGTTTTGCGTCTTCGGGGAAACTCATCAGAAGGCCGGGAGACTTCCGAGCTTCTGAGAAGGCCTTCTCCTTCTCACTTCCCCCCCTCGTTCACCGCCGAGAGATGAACAGTCTGGACGTCTTGCGCAGCAAAGTAGCGTGCAAGGAATAACAGCAAACCCGCCGGTCCACCTGGGGGGGGGGGGGGGGCATCAGGCTACGGGGCCAGGCGTTCTGCGCCCTGCGTACCAGCTCCAGCGCGAAAGCGTGGGGTGATCTGTAAACTCTTCGCACCATTAGGGGACCAAATTCAGGGGCGCGCAAAAATGGATTAGCGATCCATGGATTTGGCGCGTGGTCGCCAAATCCATGAATCGGGGGAGGCGCCCTCCCAAAAATGCGGCCGGTGCCGCCTCGTTCGGCGGCGGAAATCTGCGATTTCTCATGGAAACGGGACCCGTCCCCAATCCACGGCCCCCTGATCCATGTTTGCGATCGCCTGACAAATGCGAACCCTACCCCCACCCTCCCCCTCAGAAATCGTGGCGGGTAGGGGTTGGGTTCGCATGTGGCCCCCTAACCATAGTCGTAACATGGCTGAACGCGCGACCCACCCTGGCCGAAAAGCGGCCCGTTACCACCGTGGAGTCACGTCCTCAGACCTTCAAGGGTGGCGACACATGTTCGCGCTCCCGGAGCGACACCCCCGTTCTGAAGCATGATGTGGTCGCGCTCCCCATGCCACATCCCAACGGACGACGGCGCACTTCGTGTCCCCGAGGCCACGGCCCCTTGCGAATTGCGGCACGCTCGCGCTCCCGAGGCCACGAGCTCCTCGCAAAGCATATCGCCATCGCTCGGACGTCCATTTCCTGTGTTTTTGTTCGGTTTCGTGCGTGGTTTTTCTCGCCAAATGATCAAGCATGCTCCTCGATGGTCCTCGCCGAAGGAAAGATCCACGTCCGAGCGATGCCAAGAGCACATCGCCATCGCGCTCCCGAGGCCACCATCCGTGGTCGGCTGCGGCGCCGCCTCGCTCCCGGGGGCCACAGGCCGTGGGCACGCGCGTCCGAGGCCACAGTGCCACCAGTTCGCGCGACCGAAGCCACTGCCTTCCTTCAGTAAGGAGGGGGAGGACAAACGCCTCCCTTTAGTAAACCTCCTTCCTCCTCCTCCTCCTCCCTCCTCTGCCTTCCTCCTCCTCCTCCTCCTCCCCCTCCTTTCGCGCGATCGGCGGTGGACAAACCTCCCTCTAGTAAACTTAAGTGGAGCCTGTCCCCCTACAGGGGGATTTGAGAGGAAAAATCTAAAAAAAGTCAAAACACATTCAACCATGATCAGAACATGCTCAAAAAATCCTCCCCAAACTATGATTCGACTATTTTGAATATTCCTCCTGTAGAGAAAACGGTCTGGGACCGAAACCGACGGACCTGGACCCGCGAAAATGACGGCCGCGACGCCCTCTCGCGAACCGAAAAACGGCCAATTCGCTAGTGTCAGGGTAGGAGATCTATCAACCTCGGTACAACCTCGCGTACTCTATCAACCTAATCGACGTCTCAGGGTAGGAGGTCAGAGGCCACAATCCATCGTACATTACCTCGCGTTCACGCTTCCATGGCCGCAGCCCCTGGCGTTCGCGTTCGCGCTCCCGAACAAAAAAACAACAACACTCAAAACTAAGACAAGGTCGCGCTCCAGAGGCCACAATCCTTCGCAGGGATCTGCGGTTTCGGGGCGCTTTGCGGCCCCCCCCGTCGCTTCCTGGAAGTGCGGTTCTGGACCCGAGGCGCGAGTCCTCGAAACCAGTAAGGGGCGCGCGCCTCAGAAGCCGCGAACATGCAGCGCACACCCGAGGCCACCATCCTTCATGAATCGGCACCGTGGCGCGCAACCAGCTGGCAAGCACCCAGCCCAAACTGACTACCTACCAGACCACCCCAACCCAACCCGAAGACCCGAATTTGACCTGAATTTCGGGTTGGGGGGGGTACGGATACCACGTGTTTTTTCAACGTTCCCCGACCCCCCCCCACTGGAAATCGAGGATAAATTTGGGCCTTCGGGTTGGGTTGGGGTGGTTTGGCGGGTGGTGACAAACCAAGTGCCAACTGTCAATTTTGACAACAGGCCAACCGACTAGGCCGAGTTGACAGCCAGCCAACCGACGAGCCAACAAACGAACCAACCGAAGGAGCGTAGTCATGCAAGCAGAGGCGGGGCCGGCGACAGGGGGCGAATCCATGCGGATAGGAAACGATAACCGTAATATCTGTTCCAGGCCGCAGCAGCCCAAGACAAAACGGTGTGAGCCAAAATTCAAGACGACAACGAAGACGACGACGAGAGAGGATGATCCGGACGAGCAACATAGATCAGCAGAAAGAGCAGCAAGAGACAACAGTATCCCCACCCTCCTCATCCTCCTCCTCTCCCCCGTCCTCGGCCATACTCATGCCCTCCCCTTCCCTCCCCGATCACTTCCCCCAACCTGCTCCCTGCCCCCTCCAAATACCTCCCCCGTTCCCACACCGTCTCTCCGCCTCCGCTTCTGACGCTTCAGCAAAGGTCAAGCAGTGTCTCGCCATCGGCGGCAGCGGATACCTTCGGACGGAAAGTTGCCATCAGCAGCTGCGTAGGGTTGAACAAGGAATGGCCTTGCACCGGGGCATGGCTTTGAACAGCGAGTCGCGGATCGAATCCCATGCTGTGCCGCAGTGCGGAAACACACACCAAGCCTAGACGGTCGGCGGGCCCATTGCCTACCAGTGACGATTAGACGACGAGCGCAAAGAAGACTTGCACGAAACGACACGCCAACACATCGCCAGGTTGACCAGCCGCCTACGCGCGAGCACCAGGCTGCGGCGCCCGCCTCGGCCACGCCGTGCTTCTGCTCTGGCTGGCTGGCCTGCTGCAAACCGCTGCACATGCGAGACGCCAGAGCGCGCCATCGCTGAAGGCCGCCCAGAGGGGGTCGAAGCAGATGGAGTCGGAGGCGCCGAGGCACGGGCGACGGCGGCGTGGAGGACATCGAGCTCCACATCGAGCGCATCGCCGCCGAATCGGCGATGCGGCGCCGTCCACGGACCCCATCTGCCTCAGGCTCGTGCCGCGACGACCCCAGCGTTGGTTTCTGACACCGCGTGGATCGTTGAACGTTCAGCGATCGGCGGCTTTTCGATCGCCAGACCGCTCCACATTTGCCGATTCAGGACCACCAGCGGCATTCAACCCTGAACGCCCGGTCGCAGCCGCGTCGACACGAGACGAACCCGCCGCACTTCGACCATCTCTGGAGGCCCCGCAACGGTGCGGTGACAGGCCGTGCGGTGACCTGGACATCCCCAAAGACCTCACCGCGTGGTCCGTCACCGCACGGTTTTAGTACCCTTGGCGCCCCCATTGCCCGAGACGTCCTCGGAGAGCGATCCAAATTTGAGGCGGCTGGGGGGTCTGAACTAGCACCCCGGAAAATGGGTCAGGAGGAGGTGGATGATGTCAAATTCATTCAAAATCGGTCCCCGGACCGCTCTTGGGGTCCATCTGGCTCAGTTTTTCACCCTGGACATGTTTTTCGCGGTCCCGGGGCCCGAAAACGGCCCCCGAGCGTTGAAAAATGCTCAAGCCCTTCTCGAGCCCAGAACCTCGGACCCGCCCGCCCTTCCTGCCCGCGGGAGCCAGCGCTGGGCCGCCTCCGACCCCCCAGACCGTCTGGGCCCGACGGCTCCAAGCCCGAGACGCCCTCGGAGAGCGACCCAAGCTCCAAGACCGTGCGGCCACCCCAAATCCACACTGGCTCACCAGGTGCGGTCACCGAGCGGCTTTGGGGATCCCCGACATTGTCGGGAAGGGCCTGGGCTCACGGCGGCGACCGCGGGGCAAGTTCGTCCTCGCTTTCGGCTCACAGGTCCTCTTGGGGGCGCCAGACATCTGGCGTCTCGAAACAATCGAGGCCCTCGACCCCTTCCAGAGACGAACATTTGTCCTCGTTCTCGGCTCCGAGCCCCTGCCAGGCCTCGGGGCCAGCAACACAACGACTCGGGACAAAAAAACGGTCCAGGGGAAACGGTCGAGATTTGCGTTTTGAGAAGGAAGCATCGCGCCCACAAAACTTCACCCGACTCGGCCTCGACCGCTGTGCGAATCAAGAGGTCGCCAGGCAAACCGGGAGCACCACACGAGCCGACCTGCGATCAGCCGGGGAAGCGGCCGAGATGTCAGGGGGCCCGTGCGTCGAAAGCCAGAGACGCCGGAAGTGGCAGGGGTGCTGGCAAGCCATGGCCCGAGGCATGCGCGCGGACGAGCGGGGGGCCAGGGTGGCAAGGCTTCGGATGGCGCCCAGGCAGCCCCTCCGGGTGGTCCCCGCTGGCCTCCACGGGCGCCCCCGAGGCAGTCCCAGCTGGTCTCCACGGGCTCCCCGAGTGGCTCGGGGCGGTCTCAACACCTCAATCCTGGGGCGCGGAGCGCCCCGGGGGCGCCGCGCGGAGGCAGCGCCAGGGTGATGAGACGCCCCACGCTGTTCTGGGGGCCCGTTGAGGCCAGCTGGGACTACCTGGGGGGGGCTGTCTGGTCGCAACCCGAGCTGGTCCTCCTGGGTCCGCTGAGGCCAGGGTCACTTCCAGCAAGCAGATGGTCGCAAAGGGCTCGTGTGGCAGGAACGTCTTCAGCGCTTGAGCGTTGTGTGCTCTCGCAGCTCCCGCTCCAGGCAGGGGCGCGCCGTCGCTTTTGGGGGGCGTGCTGGTGCTGGCCCTGATGGAGTTTCCCATCCAGGGTCAGGGGCGAGGCTGGGACTCACCCGCTGCTCCTCGTCGTCTCGCCGTCGCCGCTGCTAAGCCATGGCCCTGCGTGGCGTAGCTCTTCAGGTGCATCACGTCAGCGTCGGGATCAAGGACGGTATTGTTGCTGTCACGCTTGCGCACGTCCAGCATCGCGGTCTCTGTCTTACACGCGACGGGCGCTGGGTGGTAGCTCTTCAGGTGGCCCTCCAACGTCTCGCAACCTAGCTGCGCTGCCCGCCTGGCCAGCGTAGCCGGATGCGGTGCAGCCGCGTGTCCTCCTAGCCAGCTATGGGGCAACCGAAAGGCACCGCCGATACCGCTTCTCCCCAGACCTTTCCCAAGGTGCGTTCTGACCAGATTTTCGAGGCGAATCGCAGTGGCGACGAGGGCCTCCCAGGAGGCCCAAAAAGGAGGAGTCGAGGCCAGGGTAGCAGTGTCGTTACCTTCTCCTCTTGTGAAGCTAGTGGCATTCCCGCTGTCATCGACGCTGTGCGAGCGCTGCATTGCGTGTTTTCGACGCTGGCGTCCAGCGCTAGACGGCAAGCCGTCACCCGCCCTCACGGCGCGGCAGGAGCCTGGGTCTGGTCGAGATGGCCATCACCTCCCACGTGTGGCCGCAGCAGCGTCACAGAAAAAATGAACTTGAGCCACAATAGACACGGCCCATGTGCTAAAACTGTCGTCGGAAAATAGACATCCAAACGCACTCCGCCCCTCCCGCCGTCCCACCCTCCCTGCACAAAGCGCATCGTCGGGGCTGCCTTTCCCAGAGTCGGTCTTGCCTCCGGCCTTGCCGCCGCCAGCCTTGCCGCCCTTGGAATCGGCGGGGCCCTTGCCCTTCGACTCCTTGCCCTGGGCTCGGTCACGCGGAACTCTGGTTCGAACACCGAGATCGCGTGGTTCCTCCTGTCGCTCCCTGTCATCCTCCCCTTTCTCCCTCATCGAAAACTCAGGAGTCGAAGTACCCTGTGGTTGAGCATGATCTCAAAGCAAGGTCGAAGAATCATGCCCATGTACAGCATCAATCTCTGCACCCCCCCCCACGACGCACCTCCCAGCGGCTAGACCACGACCACGCTGGGATCGCGCAGCCGGGAAGATCTGAGAAGGCCCAGACGTACCGCCAAGACAACGTGCCCCCAATGAAGCATCGCAGCAGCCACGGTTCAAGCCACGGTTTGCGCAAAAGCCCAGGCTTTGGGCGTCCCGAAGAGGGCTCTGAGGCTCCCTCCTCAGGGTCCGTCTGTTCTCCCCCCACTCGTATGGCCTTGCCCCACGGGGCGACCTACCCCCCTGGTGGGGCCTATCCCCTCCTGGGGGATGCGCTGGTGGGGCTGAGATAAGATGGCAGTGGGAATGTGCATCGGTTATAGACGATGCTGACTGGAAGATGTCCTGCTGGGCTGATCCGACGTCTTGCGATCGGAGGACCATCGGAATGAGCAAGCAGAGAGAGCGCACGACATCTCTTCGGCGGTCAACCCCCCCTCCCCAACCTCCACCCTCCTCGCCCGCCATCCCCCCACGCTTCTCCGCCCCTCTCCTGCCCCTGCTCCCACGCTCCCCCTCGCTCTCGCAAGGACTCGAAGCGGCGCCGCCCACCGCTCCCACTCGGGCGCGGCCAAAGCGACCCCTGTCGTGACGAGCCCTTCTGTGACAACCACCCTCCTCCTTCCCCCCCTCCTCCTCCTTCCGCCTCCTCCTCCTTCCGCCGCCTCCTCCTTCCGCCGCCTTCCTCCTCCTCCTCCTCCTCCTCCTCCTCCTCCTCCTCCCTCCTCCTCCTCCTCCTCCTCCTCCTCCTCCTCCTCCTCCTCCTCCTCCTCCTCCTCCTCCTCCTCCTCCTCCTCCTCCTCCTCCTCCTCCTCCTCCTCCTCCTCCTCTCCTCCTCCTCCTCCTCCTCCTCCTCCTCCTCCTCCTCCTCCTCCTCCTCCTCCTCCTCCTCCTCTCCTCCTCCTCCTCCTCCTCCTCCTCCTCCTCCTCCTCCTCTCCTCCTCCTCCTCCTCCTCTCCTCCTCCTCCTCCTCCTCTCCTCCTCCTCCTCCTCCTCCTCCTCTCCTCCTCCTCTCCTCCTCCTCCTCCTCCTCCTCCTCCTCCTCCTCCTCCTCCTCCTCCTCCTCCTCCTCCTCCTCCTCCTCCTCCTCCTCCTCCTCCTCCTCCTCCTCCTCCTCCTCCTCCTCCTCCTCCTCCTCCTCCTCCTCCTCCTCCTCCTCCTCCTCCTCCTCCTCCTCCTCCTCCTCCTCCTCCTCCTCCTCCTCCTCCTCCCCTCCTCCTCCTCCTCCTCCTCCTCCTCCTCCTCCTCCTCTCCTCCTCCTCCTCCTCCTCTCCTCCTCCTCCTCCTCCTCCTCCTCCTCCTCCTCCTCCTCCTCCTCCTCCTCCTCCTCCTCCTCCTCCTCCTCCTCCTCCTCCTCCTCCTCCTCCTCCTCCTCCTCCTCCTCCTCCTCCTCCTCCTCCTCCTCCTCCTCCTCCTCCTCCTCCCGCCCCCTCCTCCTCCCGCCCACTCCTCCTTCCCCTGCCCCCGCGAGGGCCGACTCCAAGGGCGCGGCGCCTTGGCGCCCTTCCCGGAGTCGGCCGCCTGGGCGGCCGGGGTGAACCACGCCGTGTGACCCCATCCTGCGCGCAGCTCCTGCTACAGCTGCCGCCGCACGCAAAGCGTCGGCAGTCAGGGCCAGCGTAACGTCACGGAGGGAACGAATTCGGCTCCAGACCTGCCATGTCCCAGAGGCGTCTCCAATGGCAACTCCTGGGCATAGGCATTGCCAGTGACCGATTGTCTCTCCCGTTCGTCAATCACTCGCCTGTGCATGGGCACGAGCAGAACACTCGCACCCAACATCTTCATCCATGCTGCCAAGCAACGGTCTCTACCTTGTAAGCTAGCTTGCTAAATGGGCTCGTGTGTAGCGGCTCTGGTGCAGACGCTGACATGAACACGCGCACACACACACACACACACACACACACACTTGTTGGCGTCGCGGCCGCGCGCGCGGCGGCGCAGCATATGTTAAGTCAAGCGGGCGCACGCGGGCCGTCCACGTTCACCCGAGCACACACACAGACAAAACAGGCACTATTCCCTACACATGAGCATCCAAGACTAATCGCGATGTTCGCAGGCACACGTGTGCACACACGAAGCCTAGCTAGGGTACACTGGCGTTCGCACAACCGAACGAACATAATACAGGTTCGGCGATACTCCTGCGGTCATATCACGGCCGTAATGTGTCGTAGCCGCAGCGCGTGTACACGTGAACAGCTCGTGCGCATGCCGTAGCGAAAGCTCTTGTGCGCGTCCACGTACGCGCGCACGCTCAACCCGCCAAACCGCACAAGATGCACAGCGCGCAAAGCGCAACACCCACGCCGCTGAGACACCTGCTGCCATACTTGTTCCTCCACGCAGTAGAACGCAGAACTATCTGGGCTACCCTAAAATTCCATTCGGCAGTCACACACATACACTGTTTCCTCCGCTGCGACGTTGCAACAACATACAAAGAACGAACCACCTACACACATACGCGCTCGAATACGAAACCTGCACCTGCGGGACGCGGGGAGAGCCTTGCCCTTCCCGGAGTCGGCCTTGCCGCCCTTGCCGGAGTCCCCCCTGCGACATGGAAAGGCACGGCAAATGACAAGAGGCACAAAGGGAAGTGGAGAGGAGGGGAGAGTGGGGAGGTGCGGCGGCGAGCGAGGGGGGGAACTGAGAAGGAGGCGGCCGTCTCAGAAGGCAAGGCTTCTCGGAAGGCCTCTGGCCTCCCGAGAGCTCTCTTGCCTCAGAAGGCCGGGGGATTTCTCAAAAGGCCGGGGAAAGGCTTAGAAAACTTCTGGGAGGGCCGTGGGACTCCTGAGCCTTCTGAGAAGGCCCGCCCCTTCCTCGCTCCCCCCCCGCCTCGCTCGCCGCCGAGAGGTGAAGAAAAATTATCCCGGCAAAGCAACCTAACAGCGATGTGTAGAAGCATATCTGAAAGCATTCCCCTTAAGATTCAGATGAAAATCCAGTTGTAGAATTCTGCTGTTCTCGCAGTCGTAGTCGCATTCGCGATGACAGTCGCAGCGGCAACGGCAGTCGCAGTCACAGCCTCAGCCTCAGCCTGCCTCAGCCTCAGCCTCAGCCTGCCTCAGCCTCAGCCTGCCTCAGCCTCAGCCTCAGCCTGCTTCAGCCTCAGCCTCAGTCTGCCTTCAGCCTCGGCCTCAGCCTCAGCCTGCCTCAGCCTCAGCCTGCATCAGCCTCAGCCTCAGCCTCAGCCTGCCTCAGCATCAGCCTGCTTCAGCCTCAGCCTCAGCCTGCCTCAGCCTCAGCCTCAGTCTGCTTCAGCCTCAGCCTCAGTCTGCCTTCAGCCTCGGCCTCAGCCTCAGCCTGCCTCAGCCTCAGCCTGCCTCGGCCGCAGCATCAGCCTGCCTCAGCATTCAAAATGTGGCCCAGGAATGGAGTTCTGGGAACTAGAAGAACACGAAGTGGCCTACAGTTGGCTCCGGGCATTCAAAATCATGCCCAGGAATTGAGTTCTGGGAACTTGAAGAGCACGAAGTGGCCTACAGTTGGCTCCGGGCATCCAAAATGTGGCCCGGGAATGGAGTTCTGGGAAATCGAAGAGCACGAAGTGGCCTACAGTTGGCTCCGGGCATCCAAAATGTGGCCCCGGAGTGGAGTTCTGGGAAGTCGAAGAGCACGAAGTGGCCTACAGTTGGCTCCGGGCATCAAAAAAATGTGGCCCGGGAATGGAGTTCTGGGAGCACCAAGAGCGATTTTGCTAGGATGTCCAAAGCGATTTCGGCTTCGGCGGCAGCCGCGGCGGCAGCCTGTCCGGGTCCCGCCCCGACCCCCCTGTGGAGTCATCTGCTGCTCTCTTTTGAGACCACTAGAAACCTATCAGCAAGAGCTGTTAGGTAATTCTGAGCCGACCACAGGCCCCGCCTGTCCGCTTTTGACCACGGGGCCCCGCCATGCGGGCCTCGCGCCCACGGGGCCCTGACCCTGAGGGGTTCGCCATGGGGCCCCGCCGACGAGGTCCCGCCCACAAAGGCTGGCACACGGGGCGGTGAGTCGGCCGCTGTTGGCCGCGGGGTCCAGCTCATACGGCCCCACCCATGCGGCAAGCTCGTATCACATCGAATGGTAGTTCTCAGCATCGGGGAAGCGGGTCCAGAGGGAAATGGGTCCTGGACCCGGGGCCGTTCCCCAGGGCGACTGATTCATCCCAGGTCGTTTTCTGGCAGGCCCGGGGCCCGCAGAGGGCCCCGGGAGCCCGAACACAGCGAACAACAGGACCCGTCTTCCCCCATGGCGACGTTCTCACATGGAACAGCACCGACACCTCAATCGTTGAACCCCCTCCAACCTGCGGGCCGTAGCCCCCGACCCAAACGGAGGAGGCAACAAAAGCATCAGCGGGCCGCTCGCGGCCACCCTCGCGCGGGCCCTGAGCGTTGTCTTATGACACCGCGTGGATCGCTCAACTTGGACAGCGCCTGGCTTTCCGATACGGACCTAGCACACACGAGCACCCTTCAAGAACATGAGGCCCTCCGCCAACTAAACAAAGAGAAACAACAACAAACAAACATTCGAGGGAACCCTCCTCCAAGATGCACAAGAGCATTCAACAATCAAACACGAAAGACATCGGCACCCTCCCCGAGCCGACCTCGATCTTATACCTCGGCCCGACCGTAACGCAAATCCTGCGAGACCCGCTAATTCCAGGCTGCTGGCCTTCAGGCTTGAACGCCCGCGCTGGTAAGGCCGCCGCGCGGACATGGCACGGACCTGCCATAAAGCTGGCGTGCAGCAGGCGGGTCCATCGGAAAACGGCTCCTGGACCCCAGGGTCTTCCTCCGGGGGCCAGCGTTTCAGCCTTGATCGCTCTTGATGGCCCCAGGGCCCAGGAAGCAGGGCTGGACCTAAAGGTCGTTTGTCGTTAAGTTTTCGTTTTGTGTTACATTTTGCTCTAAGACCAACCGAAGACCAGCAACACAGCGTTTAGGTCCAGCCCTGCCAGGAAAGACCCTTGGAGGCCGAAGACAAAGGAACCTTAGGTGGCCACTCACGGGAGCCTCCCATGCCATCTGGTTGGCTCTTGCGAATCCACGTGGACCAACGCGTTTCGACGCCGGTCGACGTTGAATCGACCTCAATCGACGCGAACTCGGCGCTGTCCCGGCGATGACCCAACGCTAACCGACGGACGCTAGCGCACAGTAAAAACGGAATTGCGGGCATGGGGGCCACGCGCCGGCATCATACGCAGATGGAAAGACATTTTTTCGTCAGCGGCGAAGCAGAGAAGCTGCTCCAGCGGGCGGCGATCCGGGGCGACGGATACGCGAAGTGGCTGGCGTGCAGCAGGGGGACAACAAGGGGGACGGGGCGGCCGCAGAGGATAGGAGGAGGAGGAGGAGGAAGAGGAGGAGGAGGAGGAGGAGGAGGAGGAGGGGGAGGGGGAGGAGGAGGAGGAGGAGGAGGAGGAGGAGGAGGAGGAGGGCACTCAGACGCGGAAGACTTCCATGTCGAGTGGGCCGGTGAGGCCAGCAGCGGCAGCGGAGCGGGGCCGTGGCAGCAGCCGGGCCGCGGCGTCGGTGCACCCACGACAGATGGAGACACGCGCACACATGACTAAGTTGAAAGAGGACAGGCGAGCCAAACCAAGGAGGACAGGGGGCGATCCAGGCTTGGTTGGGCATTTTCCTCAAGGGGCACTCCCTCCTAACCAACCTCATGGGAGCTCGGCAAGAAGCAGGCGCAGCGCTTGTCTTTCCTTGCAGTGGGTGGCGCTTGATTCGCTCCCCTTCCGTCGCCTGTGCCCCCTCCTTTGCTCTTCCCCCCTTACCCTCACGCCCTTCCGGAGGGAGGAGACTGACGATGAAGAGGAGGCGCATAAGGAGGAGAAGGGAGGAGGGAGGAGGAGGAGGAGAGAGGAGGGGGGAGGAAGGGTGGAGGACGAAAGAGAAGGCGGCAGGGGGGAGGATGGAGGAGGAAGAGGGAGGAAGAGGGAATAGGAGGAGGACCAGTAACCCAAGCCGCATCAACGACTTTGCGATAACCCTCCCTCCAAATCCCCTTTTCGAAGGTACCCCACAACAAGATATGTTCATTGCAGGAAGTGCCAAATTGGAAGATAATCTTCTGATAATCCTCAATCGCGTTGAAAAGCCATTCCTGGGCCTTCAACGCCAGGAATCAACGTGACGTTTGCGCCCTGACAATCCTAAGCCGCGCCAGAACACCATTCCTGAGACTCCAACACCGCGAAGCAGCGTCACGATTGCGTCCTGACACGCACCAGAACACGAGTTCTGGTACTTAAACCGAGCCCTTGAAACTGCTGCGAACAGGTAAGACGAAAGTGCGCAATGCTAATGCGAGAGCCACATTTTGTAAAGAACCCGCCCTCCATCATTGAAGCTGTTGCCAACTTTCAAAAAAAATATGCGCGGCGCTACAGCGAGAGTCACATTTTGAAACGGACCACCCTCCATCCTTGAAGCTGCTGCACATGTTCAAACAACCAATATGATCGGCGCGAAGGCGAATGCCTCCTTTGTTATGGACCCGCCTTCCATCCTTGAAACTGTTACAAACTTCAAGCTTGAAGATCATACATGGTGGGGAAGTGAAATCTCTGGCGAAACGCCCGACCCGCTCTACCAACACGCCCAGGAATGCGACAGGCAGGAGTTATTGATTATAAGGAGAAGGGATGGAGGAGGAAGGGGAGGAATAGAGGAGGAGGATGAGAAGGAGGAGGAGGGAGAGAGGAGGAAGAAAAGAAGATGAGCAAATGGGCCCAGCGCCGTCCTCCGTCCCGTTCACCCACTCCTCCCTCGCCCCCAATGGTGCATCCGCACGTTCCTGGGCGTGGTGGTGCTATCGGGCCTATCGGCGATGAATGGGCGATCGGGGGTCGATGCGTTCCCCCTTGACCATCTCCCTATCCCCCCCAGACTTTGGACGCCCCAAATGGGTACAGAAAAATGGGTACAATGTCCAACAGCAAACGTTGTCAAAAACAGACGGCGGACAGTTTGGCAGGCGACTTGTCTCAAATGGACCACGCCCGCGGCGACAACGACAGCGACTCCTGTTCAAAATGAACAGGGAATGCTGCGAGTCGTCGTGCCCAATGTTTCTGTACCCACTTCGGTTCCCTCGACGAATGTTGCCCCTTCCCCCTCCTCGTCCGCCGGGCCAGGCGAGATACAAGTACTGCCACCACGGCTTTGAGCTTTTGAGCTCCACAATGCTACGGGGCGTGACGCCTCCTCCTGCCGAGTCGATCCCATCCTCCCCCCTGACCAGAGAATCAAAAGACTGCATGAAAAGAAATGTTTGGAGTCTCTGCACGGATTTTCTGGATCCGCGCTGGACCCCCCTCCCTGGCTCGCGGAGCGCGCCAGGGGCGGCGCGGGAGGCGCCGCCGGGGCGGGGGGCCCGGCGCGGACCCAAGAAATCCGCGCGGAGCGCCAAAAAGTTATGTTTGTGCAGTTTTTTCCCTTCGAGCCGAGTCAATCCCATCCTCCCCTCTTTGAGCAGGGACCGACCGTCCCGGCATTTCTATAGGCCTACCACGACATGATTCTTAGAACCCAAAAATGTTCTGATAACAAAAACACTGTTCTTAGGACATAGGCCCCATGTGTTACAACACTACAGTCCCGGACAGAAATGCTCTAAGAACATTTCGTGCAGACCACACAAGGTTCTTACAACATTCTTTGGTAGGTCTATAGGCGGGCCAGGACGCTTCGCCACTGCTTGACAATCCCGTCCTCCCCCTAGCGTTAGCTCGGCCCGCGCCTGCCGCCGCCGCCGCCGCCCCAGCCTCCGCTCCAGCCGCCCCAGCCACCTGGCGAGGGCACCGCCCGGCGGGGGGCACCCCGGGGAGCCCGGCCTGCCCGCCCTGGGCAGCAGTCGGCGTCGAGGTCTGGAGGTCGCCTCGAGCCGAAACCCCGATCTCCTCCTCCTCCTCCTCCTCCCCCTCCTCCTCTTCCTCCTCCTCCTCCTCCTCGTCCTCCTCCTCTTCTTCCTCGTCCTCCTCCTCGTCCTCCTCCTCCTCCTCCTCATCCTCCTCCTCCTCCCCAGGGTGCCAGGAGAACAATTCTGGGAGCTGGATGCGTTTAACGTTTCACCAGAAGGTTAGTAGCTTCACGGGTGACTGGGACGTGTAAGGGCATGCTTGTGTTGCGTGCCTGTGTTGGAGACGCACGTCCGACCAGAGCATACAGCAAAACATCTTGTAGTATATCGTTTCCAGACACTAGGCAGCTGGGCGAGGGCTGCTAAAACCGTGGCTGCTAAAACGGCCCTCCCGGAATGAAAAAACAACTTCCCGGAATGAGGCGCGGCACGCGAAGCAGTCAACGGACTTCTTCCCGGAAGGACGAAGACAACTTCCCGGAGGTCGATTTTAGCAGCCACGGATTTAGCAGCCTTCGCCCGGCTTCCGAGACACAGACCTTGTCCTATAAGATTTCCGAGCGTGCGCGGCGCCCTTGCGTTGGGGTCAGGGGGTCAGGGGAAGCCCGCGGCGGCGCGCCCTGCACGGGCTGCTGCTGCGCGCGCGCGTCCCACAATTCTTGATGCTCCTCGCACTGAGCCAGTCCCCATGGTTCTCACATCCAACTCCTCTTCCTCCTCCTCCTCCTCCTCTTCCTCCTCCTCCTCCTCCTCCTCCTCCTCCGCATCATCCTCCTCATCATCATCCTCCTCATCCGCATAATCATCCTGATTATCATCCTCATCCTCGTCACCATCATCACCATCATCATCATCATCATCATCATCAGCATCATCATCATCACCACATTCAGCAACATCACCACCAAAAACATCATCGACAACAATTGCACTTACAACAACAACAACAACAACAACAACAACAACAACAACAACAACAACAACAACAACAACAACAACAACAACAACAACGACAACGACAACGACAACGACAACGACGACAACAACAACAGCAGCAGCAACAGCAACAGCAACAGCAACAACACCAACAGCAACACCAACAACACCAACAACAACCATCATTTTAAAGCTGTTCGCTCTTATCTGCTCGCGTGCCATTCAACACGTCTATCCCGAACCCTCGATACCCGCCCTCTTTCTATTCGACCGTATCCCCTTGGGGATATTCCCCAATCAGTGCTTGCACTGAAGGGGTCCTAGCGGAAGTTGAAAGATTTGGCGAAACAAAAACGCCGATTTTGGTCGCACGCTGGGTTCCCAGGTTCCCGGTTCCGGGTTCCCGGGTTCCCGGTTCCGGGCCGATTTCGGAGGGCGGCGAGGTTCCCAGGTTCCCGGGTTCCTGGTCGATCCTCTTATCGATCGGTCTCACCATCGATCTCATTACCCACTTCTCTCTCGATCTCACCATCGATCTCACCATCGATCTCACAATCGATCTCATATCAATCATACAAGCGCTCACTAGAAATCGCAGGAGCGATCTCGCGATATCTCACTTCGATCTCATTGAATCGATTTCACTCTCGGTCTCACGATCGACCTTACTTACAATTTTCCTCACTGTCGATTCCATTATCGATCTCTTGTCGATCTCACAATCGATCTCATGATCCACAGTATTCATGTTCAAATCATCCACTGATTGCGGCTTTCTCGGGTGTAATAGTTTTCTTACCTGCAACGTGCGTTTCGTGCAGCCCCTGAGGCAGGGGAAGAGAGGACGGATTGCAGAAAGGGACAACGGGGAGGGAGGAGGATGGAGCACGAGACTAGGAGGGGGGCCAAGAGCAGACAACACGTGGCAGAAACAGACGGGCAGATCGGGCGGGTAGATCCTACCAGGCGGGTCGGGAAGGAGGACCCAGGCGGCCAGGTCGAGCAGGCGGGTTGCTGAAGCGTGCGTCCTGCATGAATGGCGAGGAAACCTTGAGCGACAGCTCGATTCCCAAATCAATCGTGAGGAAATCCATAGCAAGAGCGTGACTCCCGAATGTCGGGAGCGCGGCGTCTGAGAAAGTGCGCGGAAGTCCCGCGCAAAAGCGCGATTTCGGAATACATTGTGAGGAAGAATCAGGCGGAAGCTATTGTTGTTATAGTTAGGGGCCAACAGCGGAGATTGAGGAGGAATACTTGTCCTGATAACAAACAGGGTGCGAGCCCCAGGAAGGGCACTTCAATTGAACAAACACATATGTTACTGGAGGGGGGATCAACAATACTTATACTTCAACAAAGAAAAGCATACAACAAGAATAACAACAAGAGCATCGCAAACGCCACCAACAACAACAATCATTTTGAGACTGTTCGCTCCTATCGGTTCGCGTGCCATTCAATACGTACGTCCCAAACCCTCGGTACCCGCTCTCGTCGTTTTCGATCGTACACCCTTGGGGGTATATCTTCCTTACTTGCCACGTGCACTTAGTGCAGCCCCTATAACAATGGAAGAGAGGACGGGTGAAGAGGGAGGGAGAAGAATGGAGCACGAGGGAAATTAGCAGGAGGGGGGCAAGGAACAGAAAATCAGTGGTAGAACCAGACGGGCAGATCGGGTGGGCAGACCCATAGCGGGCAGGTCGGGAAGGCGGGCCCAGGCGGCCAGGTCGAGCAGGCGGATTGCTGAAGCGTGCGTCCTGCATGAAGACTACGTCTCGAGCGATAGCGCGACTCCCAAAACAAATCGTGATAAAGCCCAAATGAGGCGCATCGTCTGAATCGATTGCGAGGACCTCCCACGCGAGAGCGCGATTCCTGAATACATTGTGAGGATGTCCCGCGCGAGAGCGCGATTCTTCAATACATTCCCAGGAAGTATCAGGCGGGAGCCGTTGTTGTTGTAGTTCGGGGCCCAACAACGCAGTTTGAGGAGAAAGACTGGCCCTGATAAAAAAGGGTGCGGGCCCCAGGAGGGGCACTTGAATTGAAAAAAAAACACGTTACCCGAGGGGTGGGATCAACCATATTCATTCTTCATGAACGAGAGCTCAACAAGAACAACAATAACAACAACACCACAACACCGACAACAACACCAGCACCAACACCACCACCAACAACAACAACAACAACATCAACAATCACAACAACAACACCACCAACAATAACAACAACAACGACGACAACAACAACAGCAGTATCAGCATCCGCTGTCACATCAGCAGCAGCAGCATCTTCATCCTCGTCCTTACCACCACCAGCATCATCACCATCAGAATGATCACCATCATCATCATCATCATCATCATCATCATCATCATCATCAGCATCATCAGCATCATCATCATCATCATCATCATCATCATCATCATCAGCATCATCAGCATCATCATCATCATCATCATCATCATCATCATCATCACATCTCTCCCGAGCATGGAAACACGAAGCGTCACACGTGACGGCCTCCCGTGCCTCCTCGAACGGTCGCCACCCCGAACCCTGAGCTGGCACGGCGGCGGCAACAGCCGCAGGCACCTGGCCAGCCGTCGGTGCGAATCCTGCCGGGCCTGCAGCACGGCCCACCCTGCACTCGCTTCGTTTCGCTTCAGATTGGGCCCAGGTTGTCACCCACCCACCACCGGCTCAGAAGTCAAGGCGGACGAAGCAAGGCAGGAAGGGCAGCAATACCAACCTCCAGCGCAATCAACTCGGCGATGAATGCGGACCCCGCGTCCGCGACACAACGCCCAGCTCGATAGAGCAGGATGGTCTTGTACGGTCCTCGTCTAATCTACGCTCTCCACCGGCCAGGTGGGGGCCAATGGGCACGCCGCCGCGCGTGAAGAGCTCCCTGCCTGAGCATCGCTTATCCGATCCCCATTCCCAGCGGCGTGGCCTGGGCCCCACTGGCCGATTTAACCCCCCTAGATGGGGATATGGGTCGTTCCCTTCGGGTTTCGAGGGGTGCATCCCCAATTGGGGCGGTAATCTGGTGGGGGTCTCGAAGGGGATGGGGATGGGAATGGGGATCGGATACAATTCGAATGGTGAATTCGGTATTATTTGACCCAAATCTTTGCCCAAATCATTTGCCAAATCTGTTAAGTTGGCACTTTGGGAAACAACAAAATAACTTGAACGATACTGGCTGCCCGAACCATCCTTTGAAAGTGGAGTGGTCCCCACCCCCCATCTGCATCAGCTGGAAGCTGCCTGCCGAGGCCAGGCCGAACGCGCCGCGGACACCGACGAGGCTGGCGATCAAAAGGAGCTGTGCCATCTGCGAGACGAATGTGCAGGTACGGTGGAGGGAAACAATTAGTGAACACCCCCCCTGACCCCCAAACTCAAGGTTGGTGCGCGCGGGGGAGACTGCGGTCGAGGTGCAACTCACCAGACCCACCGCCAACTTTGAACATTGGGGGGGAGGGGGAGGCGTTCACGCATGAATGTGGCACGAGTGTCCGCTATTTTTGTTCCGAGGCCCGTGAGGCAAGACTTGCATGGCAGTGGCTGGATCCTTGCATCGTGGCGCGCTCGACCAAATTCATTCGCACTTGGCACCTCCACCTGCCGACCACGCCGGCAATGAAAGCCGCCGAGCTCGCGCGCGCTATTACCTTCGACGGAATCACCAGCCTCAAGCCCTGCGGACGCGCTGCCATACGTCGGTTCATCTCGCTTCTGCCCGCGCCCAACAAGGAACTCAACGCGCGCCCGTCCAGGGGCTGCCGCGGACCGCAGCCCTCGACACTCTCTAGAGGCGCGGTGGGTTCGGTCCCGATTGGCTGGTAAACATTGACCTGAGGTCCCTCTGCGCCGCCGACTCAGACGCGCCCCGAGCCGAAACGGCCACGGACCACACGAGCGGCACCCGCGTGGGCAGATCGTGGGCGGCCCACTCCTCCAGGCGGCCGGGAACGGAACAAGCAGCACAGGCAGCATCGAATCCATCTCGCATGCGCACACAGCACGCGCCCGAGACACCTGGCTCCATCCCTCTCGCGGTGTTGCGTGCCTGCCTGACGATGCTAACCCTCCAAACGCCGTATCGTCACCTCGAGCGTGCGACTGCCTCGCGCTGAGCACGCATCTGCTGCGCCCACACGTCCCTCCGTCCCCAGCTGCCCGCCCCCAAGAAGGGGAGGGCGACACCCAAGAGCGAGCGGGAGGAATGGAGAACCCCCCCCCTCCTCTTCCTCTTCCTCCTCCTCCTCCTCCTCCTCCTCCTCCTCCTCACTCCCACGCCACTCTCCTCGCGCCTCCCTCCTCCATTCTCCCTCATGCGAAGATGTGCCAACACGTCTCTTCCAAGCCAGAGGTGTGTGCATTCGGCGGTAATTCAAACAGAATTGCCTGGCCTTCAGCACATTACACCTCCCTGGTGACAGACTTGCAGAAAAATAAACAGAACATAGCAAATCCAGAAAGTGGCATCATTGCACAGAGCAAGCACGTCCAACCGAAGATTTCCGACAGCACCTGTGAACGACACACGAAGTCTGACAGCGGTCGATTCCACGTCTCGCGAACTGCCATCTGTCAACGACCAAGCCTCGCACGATTCTTGCAGTGTCTGGGAGCTCACACATATCCTGCGCCGTGGTATGTGAACACATGTTCCACGTTCACAGCTGTGCTATACTCAGAGCAACGTATTGACTTGGATAGGAAACTTGAAAATCACACAATCATTGCCGTCACCGTCGCCGATCATCACCATCGTCATCATCATCATCATCAGCAGCATCATCATCCTCATCATCGTCATCATCATCATCATAATCATCATCATCATACTCATCATCATCAGCAGCAGCATCATCATCATCATCGCCATCGTCATCAGCATCATCATCATCATCATCATCATCATCATCATCATCATCATCATCATCATCATCAGCAGCAGCAGCAGCATCATCACAATCATCACCATCGTCATCGTCAGTCTCGTCTTCACCCGCATCACCACCGCCATCCCCTCGCTCAACTGGCCCAGTCGGCAGCCATCTCTGCTGTTGCCCCCCTCTCGTATCGACGACTCTGCGGCCTGACTGTTGCGTTCCTGGGCACAACCGCAGCGGGGCCGAAAGGACGTCATAGCTCGCAGGTGGGACGGTGCATCCCAGGAGGGCGGGCAATGGCAGCAGCAGCAGCAGAGGTCATCGGCGAGAACACAATTACGAGGAGGCATACTTGTACACAGGTCTTCGAGCGTGAGGCCACCACTCCAGCTGTTGTTGCCGCCGCGGTCCCACCACTGGCTGCCACCACCACCACCTTGCGGGAGCTATCTAGCAAGACTCTCTTCGAATATGTATAAATCGACGCTACTCCCAACATTGACAACGAGCATGCCCATGCTAGACTCGGCCAGAATGGCAATGCCCGCGACTTGCTCCCTTCGCTCACTGCACCCACTCCTGTCAACTCAGATCGTCTTTTCTCACTTTCTGAAGTCGCTGCATCATCCAAGTGTGGAATTCCTGAAAACGAAACTGCCATTAAGACACACTCACATTGCAGATGTTGATGGTGCCATTGAAGAGAAGAAGGAAGGGCGGGCTTACTCCAGTTGCCACCGCCACTATTGTAGTTGCCGTAGCCTGGCCAGAAGCTGGAAATGATTGCGAATGCTGTGCACGACTCTCAGCATTACCTCTCATGCAACAAACCCATCGACCTCGAAGTTCGCCCCAGGAAACTACCCCTAACATTCGCCAGCCCAACGGGCCAAAGGCGTGCTAGTATCGTGGCGGCCGTTTGAGGACCAGGGGACGACAGTATCCCAGTCACGCCCCCTGTCAACCCCGTGAGCTCCGCAAGAGGTTTCCAAGAGGGACACCACTAAGTCCAAGAGCGGGGATGAATGGGTGACAGGCCTTCCCAAAAGGGCCATCAGAAGGCCCAAGATGGTCCAAGATCCAAGACAGTATCCAAGCGGCTCCCAAAGATGGCAGAGTCACTCAAAAAACCAAAGGTACTTCAATGATTCTGGCACCCTAGCCGTTTCGCTTCCAGATGGCCTTCCAGAGCCTCAAGACCGCTCCAAGTTCACCCAAGATGGCTCCACGGCGTTCCCAGAAGAGCTCCGAGAGCGCTCCGATGGCTCCCCAGACCGACCAGGCTCCACGAGAGCCCAAAGAGGGCTCAAGAGCGGCCAGACGCAGAGATAGCTTCAACACAGCCGGAAGAAATGGGAAGACAGCCCCAAGGTAGCCCAAGATGGTCCCAGGCGGCCTCCGAGAAAGCCGAGGCCTGTCAGAGCCTTATGCGGTTCATTGGCGTTGCCTTCCTCGCCCTCATGCTTCCGATGGCCTCATCAGAGCTCAAAACGGCTCCAAGGCTACAGCAAGCTCACGTCGTGACGAACCCGGCGTGGGTCTCTGACAACGCGTGGATCGTTCGACCTTGAGCGATCGGCGAGTCTTCGATCGCAGCAGCGTCCCATATTGGCAGACTCTTAGCCGCCTGGCGGCGTTCAACCTTGAACGCCCGCGGCGGGGCTGCCGACGCGTCGATGCGAGGCAGAGCGAACCCGCCGTGACTCCAAGTGGAGACCAGGAGGGCTCCGAGAGAGCTCCGACGACCTCCACGAGCGCCCCGCACGAGCGGCCCAACAGAGCTCCAAAAGGGTCCCAAGAGCAAAGGGAGCCTCGGGCTGCAACGGTGCGGGGATCCATGGACTGGCATGGCTCCCAAACTGCGGCCTAAGGCCCCCAACGGCCCCAGGTGGTCCAAGACCCCGGAAGGACCCCCAAGACTCATCAGAAAGCCCATGTGAGCCATCCAGGAATTCACCAGAAGCCTCCTGTACGATTCCAGTAACTCCCGGATGCTCATATAAAGATGCCAAGGGCTGAACACGCACACCAATGCTCATGGTTCCTATTACCTTGTTTATGTTATTGTCCCGGCCCCCGGGCAACTCACCACAAATGGAACATTTGGCACGACTTGTAAAACCGTGAAGGTCCGCAGGTCCGATTACCCAGCTGCACACCCTGGTCAATGACAGTCCCAGGAGGGAGAGGAGGAAGAAAGGAGGACGAAGAGAAGAGAAAAGGGGGAAGAGAACAATGAGGCGGTTACGGATCCGCCCCGCTTCAGTGCAAAACTCTGATGCATAGCTCGAGAATACATGGCGGAAAAATCACACGCCAGCATAAGAGAGAGTCCCAAACTGGAAGACGAAACCGACAAGTGCACCCACTCACGCTTCCCAGTAATTATCGTTCCTCTGTCATGTTGTCGGGCTCCGATGGTGCGGCTCCGAAGTCGTCGTCGTCGTCGTCGTCGTCGTCGTTGTCGTCGTCGTCGTCGTCGTCGTCGTCGTCGTCGTCGTCGTCGTCGTCGTCGTCGTCGTCGTGATCGTCGTCGCGCCCCCTCTGGCCCTGGGTATTCTCCTCAAGCGCGCTAGCCAAAGGGACATTGAGCAAAGTCGTAGCTGATTCGAGGGGAAGCCCCTCCCCATTGATCCCTTCCCCGCCATGGGGGGGTCTGGGTCCCCCGGGGGGGAGTCCGAGGCCAGAATACCATCCCGGGGGGGGGTCCCCAGGGGGTGCCCCCCCTGTGGACGCCTCCCTCCCCTTTCCCCTCAAGGAAGCCCCTTCGCGCTGATCCCTTCCCCGCCGGGCGGGGGGAGGCATCCCGGGGCGAGCGTTGACCCCCCTCCCCTGGGGGGCGTCCAGGGTCAGAATACCATCCATCCCCTGGGGGATCCCGAGGGGTGGTCCCCCTCTCCCCCCTCCTCCGCCTGGGCTTTCATAGCCCCCTAGAACGGAGATTTCGCACGGGAAGAAAATCTTCAACTGAGACGGGGTCCGTCGGTTCATCGTTTGTCTGGTTCAGGGGGTTCATGCTCTTCTGTGTGCCTTATGCCTTGCCTCATGGTTTGGGTAGTTCCCGCGGGGGCCGCGGATTGTTTCCTCGGCAAGGGCAGGCGTCTCGCAGCGCTCTACAGTCCGCCAGGCGCGGACGCGGGATAGCAAGTATCTGGCTTGAGGTGGCCCTGAAGGGCCCGTTCTGCAGTGGTTCCACCTGGCGTGGGGGCAGGAGTTGCATATCCGTCCTACCTTGGCACATGTTGGCCCACTGGGCCAAAAGCACGCTTGCCAAAGGGACATTGAGCAACGTCGTCCTCCGCTTTCTCCTCCTCTTCCTCCTCCTCCTCCTCCTTCTCCTCCTCTTCGTCCTTGTCGTCCTCGTCCTCCTCCTCCTGTTCCTCCTCCTCCGCCTCCTCGTCCCCCTCCCCCTCGCCCTCCCCCTCCCTCTCCCGTGAACAGCAGTATTGCTTGTTCTTCTCCGAGTCCACGGCCAAGGCGGAGCCAGGATCTGAAACTCGCACGTCACTGCCAGCCCGTCGTTGTAGAGCTCGGCCGAAGCAGAATAGGTAGCGCGCTGCCACGGGATACTCGTAGAGTCCTCAGAAGCGTATACACCTTCCGCTGGCGCATGGGAGGTTGTATAATGCTTCGTACGCCGTCCGCTTTCCTCTTTTGATGGCATGAAGACGCCCGTGTTGAGGACTGCGCCGAGCCTGTTGATGTTGATCGCGTGCGGGTAGAACTTACACCCTTCGTCCCATTTGTTCGCACGAAGCTGTGCGGAAGGTCGAACGGCAGAGTGAAAAAATGTGTTGTGGCCGACCATCGACCACCATCCCAGCGACATCAAAAAGGTCGCGCTGCGTCCCTGACATACCGTTGTCACCCGCGCACAGACGCTTTGCACTCAACCACTCAATGACTGACCGAGCCAGGTACTGCTTTGTAGGCAGTGGGCAGCTTGCGCGTCGCATCACTGCTGCCTGCCAGCCCTTTGAGCCAGTAGGGGCGCCACTGTGCTGATACGAGACACCGTCCGGCAGCAGTTCACGATCCAGCCTCTTTGGGGGGGCAGACGATGGCTCCCCAGTCGATGTTGCACGTCGGATTGACCTCACTGTGTCAACCCATGTTGCGGAAGCCACGCTCTTGTTCCACGTCTTCGGGGCGTCGGCAGCATAGCCATCGCCAGCCCCTTCGGCGTCCTGTCATAGGATCGCGCTCAGTTGCTTCGCATCTCATTTACAATGCCTCCACGCACCGAGTCATCCTGTCGTCACGCGTTATCCCATAGAACGCGAAGTTGCCATCGGGCAGCATTGCAGAATATGAGGCGCGACCATCGTGGGGGATAGCGTATATCGGCACGTCTTCCCACGGCAATCTCGCCGCTGCGCCCTTCTCATTTTATCCTATCTGCGAACCTCGCTGGGTCCACGTCCACGCACGCCAGCACGGGCAACAAAGGGGCGCCCTGGAGGCTACAAAGGGACGAAGGGTCCGAACGCCACGTTCGACAGTCCCTGGCGCCAACCCGCAACAAAAACGCCAGAATCGACAGAGACTTTCACCTGGGGGATAGGGGGCAAGACCGCGGGCACCAATGCTGATACTAGCGGGGAAACAACTTGCAATAATCGGAGAAGGGGGGGGGGGAGGGCGACGACAGCGTCGCAGAAACACTTTGCACCTACGTCGCGACAGTGGAACACCATGCAACACCGCACACCTGGGCTGCAACTCGGCGCCCCCTGTAAGTTCCCAAAAATCACAATGGTCAGCCGCGTGCATCACCTGATATATTGCGCGTTCCGAATGTCTCCGGCCCGCCAGGAAGGCGAAGGCGTCCTCCAATGTCGCCGTGGAGAAATTCCGCCACAGTTCGTTCGTCGCCTTTTGGGCCCAGTGACCAGCAGTCATAGCATGCTGATCAGTGGTCACGCGTGGCCTCGGCATGCGAAACGCGGCATCGACTGCGTCGCAACCCCACTTGACGGCCACGAAGACTCCATGATATTCACCTTGCCTTCTGGGAGATTCCATTCTTGATCTCGGATCACTGGGCAAGCAGAACCTGCCCCGCTGTCGCAGTGAAGACCGCGGATGCGAGGAACGTGCCTGGACGCCACCTTCACCCAGAAAGCCCTCCATACGTCGTCGGAGGGCATGACCCCTCCCCCCTGAACGGCACAGTCGGGCTTGAACAGACACACCGTGAGCAAGCCAGCGACATTGGGGTTGAAATTGATGTTGTCTGGGTCAGCAAGCCTGAGCAATCTGCGCTTGTACGTTAACTGCCTGGCGGCTTCGTTGACCTCTTCCGCTGTGCAACCGCGACCGAGGCCGCGGATATGACGCACCTTACACCATTTGACCACGAAGTCAAGTCGTTCCAATATCCTCGCCTCGTCTCCCGACGCCTCAAGGTCCTGTCATTTTCCGCTTGCAGGTCGCCCACCTGCGATTCCATCCAAAGGAATGGCGGCTCGTTCTGGTAGTCAGTGAGATCGACCGGGCCATGGGCGCGCGGACGTGCACGATGATATTAGATGCGGCAGCCTGCCCGATAACTCTTTTCAATTTCAGGATTAACCGAGATGACTTTCGCCGCGTCGACGAGATCACGCAATTCATTGAAGAACGCTGTGTGCTTGTCCTTCCACGACATTTTCGGGTCGTCAATGACTGCCGCGATGGGAGGGCACCCGAACACATTCGGGGCGTCGGCCTCACGGTGGAACATTGTTCCACAGGTGCCGTGGAGGTGGCCGCATGAGACG